CCATCGATGCTAAGAAGAATCTGCATCAACTAACGAGCAAAATAACCAGCTAATATCATAATGACAGGATCAAGTTCACACATAATAATATTAACCTTAAATGTAAATGGACTAAATGGTCCCATTAAAAGACACAGATTGGCAAATTGGATAAAGAGTTAAGACACATCAGTTTGCTGTATTCAGGAGACCCACCTCACATGTAGAGACACATATAGGCTCAAAATAAAGGGATGGAGGAAGATCTACCAAGCAAATGGAGAACAAAAAAAAAAGCAGGGGTGGCAATCCTAGTCTCTGATAAAACAGACTTTAAACCATCAAAGATCAAAAGAGACAAAGAAGGCCATTACATAATGGTAAAGGGATCAATTCAACAGGAAGAGCTAACTATCTTAAATATATATGCACCCAATACAGGAGCACCCAGATTCATAAAGCAAGTCCTTAGAGACTTACAAAGAGACTTAGACTTTCATACAATAATAATGTGAGACTTTAACACCCCACTGTCAACATTAGACAGATCAACAAGACAGAAAGTTAATAAAGATATCCAGGAATTGAACTCAACTCTGCACCAAGTGGACCTAATAGACATCTACAGAACACTCCACCCCAAATCAACAGAATATACATTCTTCTCAGCATCACATCACACTTATTCCAAAACTGACCACATAGTTGGAAATAAAGCACTCCTCAGCAAATGTAAAAGAACAGAAATTATAGCAAACTGTCTGTCAGACCACAGTGCAATCAAACTAGAAATCAGGACTAAGAAACTCAATCAACACCACTCAACTACATGGAAACTGAACAACCTGCTCCTGAATGACTACTGGGTACATCACGAAATGAAGGTAGAAATAAAGATGTTCTTTGAAACCGATGAGAACAAAGATACAACATACCAGAATCTCTGGGACACATTTAAAGCAGTGTGTAGAGGGAACTTTATAGCCCACAAGAGAAAGTAGGAAAGATCTAAAATTGACACCCTAACATCACAGTTAAAAGAACTAGAGAAGCAAGAGCAAACACATTCAAAAGCTAACAGAAGGCAAGAAACAACTAAGATCAGAGCAAAACTGAAAGAGATAGAGACACAAAAAACCCTCCAAAAAAATCAATGAATCCAGGAGCTGGTTTTTTTGAAAAGATCAACAAAATTGATAGACCGCTAGCAAAACTAATAAAGAAGAAAAGAGAGAAGAATCAAATAGATGCAATAAAAAATGATAAAGGGGATATCATCACTGACCCCACAGAAATACAAACAACCATCAGAGAATACCATAAATACCTCTACACAAATAAACTAGAAAACCTAGAAGAAATAGATAAATTCCTGGACACATATACTCTCCCAAGACTAAACCAGGAAGAAGTTGAATCCCTGAATAGACCAATAGCAGGGTCTGAAATTGAGGCAATAATTAATAGCCTACCAACCAAAAAAAGTCCAGGACCAGACACATTCACAGTTGAATTCTACCAGAGGTACAAGGAGGAGCTGGTACCATTCCTTCTGAAACTACTCCTATCAATAGAAAAGGAGGGAATCCTCCCTAACTCATTTTATGAAGCCAACATCATCCTGATACCAAAGCCTGGCAGAGACACAACAGAAAAAGAGAATTTCAGACCAATATCCCTGATGAACATCAATGCAAAAATCCTCAATAAAATACTGGCAAATGGAATCCAGCAGCACATCAAAAAGCTTATCCACCATGATCAGGTGGGCTTCATCCCTGGGATGCAAGGCTGCTTCAACATATGCAAATCAATAAATGTAATCCAGCATATAAACAGAACCAAAGACAAAAACCACATGATTATCTCAATAGATGCAGAAAAGGCCTTTCACAAAATTCAACAGCCCTTCATGCTAAAAACTCTCAATAAATTCGGTATTGATGGAACATATCTCAAAATAATGAGAGCTATTTATGACAAACCAACAGTCAATATCATACTGAAAGGGCAAAACCTGGAAACATTCCTTTTGAAAACTGGTAAAAGACAGGGATGCCCTCTCTCACCACTCCTATTCAACATAGTGTTGGAAGTTCTGGCCAGGGCAATCAGGCAAGAGAAAGAAATAAAGGGTATTCAGTTAGGAAAAGAAGAAGTCAAATTGTCCCTGTTTGCAGATGACATGATTATATATTTAGAAAACCCCATCATCTCAGCTCAAAATCTCCTTAAGCTGATAAGAAACTTCAGCAAAGTCTCAGGATACAAAATCAATGTGCAAAAATCACAAGCATTCCTATACACCAATAACAGACAAACAGGGAGCCAAATCATGAATGAACTCCCAATTGCTTCAAAGAGTATCAGATACCTAGGAATCCAACTTACAAGGGATGTGAAGGACCTATTCAAGGAGAAATGTAAACCACTGCTCAACGAAATAAAAAAGGATGGAAACAAATGGAACAATACATCATGCTCATGGATAGGAAGAATCAATATCATGAAAATGGCCATACTGTCCAAGGTAATTTATAGATTCAATGCCATCCCCATCAAGCTACCAATGACTTTCTTCACAGAATTGGAAAAAACTGCTTTAAAGTTCATATGGAACTAAAAAAGAGCCCGTATTGCCAAGACAATCCAAAGCCAAAAGAACAAAGCTGGAGGCATCACGCTACCTGACTTCAAACTATACTAAAAGGCTACAGTAACCAAAACAGCATGGTACTGGTACCAAAACAGAGATATAGACCAATGGAACAGAACAGAGCCCTCAGAAATAATACCACACATATACAGCCATCTGATCTTTGACAAACCTGACAAAAAGAAGAAATGGGGGAAAGGATTCCCTATTTAATAGATGGTGCTGGGAAAATTGGGTAGCCATAAGTAGAAAGCTGAAACTGGATCCTTTCCTTACTTCTTATATGAAAATTAATTCAAGATGGATTAGAGACTTAAATGTTAGACCTAAAACCATAAAAACCCTAGAAGAAAACCTAGGTAATACCATTCAGGACATAGGCATGGGCAAGGATTTCATGTCTAAAACACCAAAAGCAATGGCAACAAAAGTCAAAATTGACAAATGGGATCTAATTAAACTAAAGAGCTTCTGCACAGCAAAAGAAACTACCACTAGAGTGAACAGGCAATCTACAGAATGGGAGAAAATTTTTGCAAACTACTCATCCAACAAAGGGCTAATATCCAGAACCTACAAAGAACTCAAACAAATTTACAAAAACAAGAACAACAACAACAAAAGAAACAAAAACAACCCCATCAAAAAGTGGGCAAAGGATATGAACGGACACTTCTCAAAATAAGACATTTACACAGCCAACAGACACATGAAAAAATGCTCATCATCACTGGCCATCAGAGAAATGCAAATCAAAACCACAATGAGATACCATCTCACACCAGTTAGAATGGTGATCATTAAAAAGTCAGGAAACAATAGGTGCTGGAGAAGATGTGGGGAAATAGGAACGCTTTTACACTGTTGGTGGGACTGTAAACTAGTTTAACCATTGTGGAAGACAGTGTGGCGATTCCTTAAGCATCTAGCACTAGAAATACCATTTGACCCTGTGATCCCATTACTCGGTATATACCCAAAGGATTATAAATCATGCTGCTATGAAGACACATGCACACGTATGTTTATTGTGGCACTATTCACAATAGCAAAGACTTGGAAGCAACCCAAATGTCCATCAGTGACAGACTGGATTAAGAAAATGTGGCACATATACACCATGGAATACTATGCAGCCATAAAAAAGGATGAGTTCATGTCCTTAGTAGGGACATGAATGAAGCTGGAAACCATCATTCTCAGCAAACTATCGCAAGAACAGAAAACCAAATACCTCATGTTCTCACTCATAGGTGGGAATTGAACAATGAGATCACTTGGACACAGGAAGGGGAACATCACACACTGGGGCCTATTGTGGGGAAGGGGAGGGGGACGGATAGCATTAGGAGATATACCTAATGTAAATGACAAGTTAATGGGTGCAGCACACCAACATGGCACATGTATACATATGTAACAAACCTGCATGTTGTGCACATGTACCCTAGAACTTAAAGTATAAAAAAAAAGAAATAAATAAAGCATTATTACTGGTCAAATTTTACTCAGTTTCAGGATTTGTAAAACTTAACCACAGGATGCATTTTAAAAAACAAGTTTCACAACTGTACCAGGTAATAAATATTTAGTTTCAGTTTTGTAAACATTCTTTAGAATATAACATTTGGCTTAGTTAGTAAGAATGGAACATTTGGGCTTAGTTCATAAGAATCGTAACTTAGCAAGAATGTAACTTAGCCAAAAGGTACATTTGTAACATCTAAAGAATGTTGGAATGCACTGCTCCGGGAGACAGATTTGAAAAGACCGATTTGAGTAATAACAAAACTCCCGTCCGGCACAGTCGGCTCTGCGTTAATTTCTCTTTCTCCACTGTAATCCCCCTGTCTTGATAAATCGGCTCTATCTAGCAAGCAAAGGGAACCCATTGGACGGTTACAACAGTACCAGGAATGCTAAGAGCTAGGAGCAACATGTTACAAAAACAGTGGCACCCCTCCTTAAAAAACAAGTTTCCCCAAGAAAGGTGGGAGGAAAATAGGGGTTCAGGACAGTTGCAAATAGATGCCTATCTTCCAAATAAAATGTCAAGTCTTGTTGAGGTCACAGCATCCACAAGTTTCCAACCTAGCCTGGAAAAACAAGTCGGATCAGAGACAGGTTGGGGGAGGGCCTGTGGGTGGCCCTGAAGCAGGCCACTAGGACGCCCTGTTTCCCTCTCTCCGCCTTTCCAAAAGTCCTTAAGCCACAGACAGCCGTGGCCCATCCAGGGGGCACTCCCCTCTCAGGTCCCCCAAAGTTCTGCAAACTCTGACGACAAAGGCAAGTCAGAGTCCTGTGACGTGTGGGGAGGCATCGGACAGATTTTTCTTTTCATGGCCTGGTCAGAGAGGATGCTCACCCATCTGAGAAGGCCCTGGAGGGGTCACACTGGGTAAATCGAAGCGAAGCCGCCTTCTTCCGCTTTTTTCGGAGCTCCAGGAGAAGGCTCCTCCTTCACTCCAGGGCGGGGCTCTGCAGAAAAGGCGGGGAAGCACCGAGGGAGGAGTACTGGGGCTGCGGGATTCGCACCTACATAGGCTTCTAGGCTCTCTCGTGCCCACACTGCACCCACCTACGCAGCCCCTTTCCGGTCCAACGGGCTCCAAACCTCAAGTTTCCGCACATCTCCCAGAGAAGCGTCCCCGCCGCAGCCCCGGGTGGGCGGGAAGCGAGGCTGCGCCCAGCACCGGCCCCACCTCCCCCGCGCCCGCGGGAGATTTGCTTGGGGCTGGATCCTCCGCCTTCAGTTTCACCGCAGCCGCCCGCTGTTGTGGCGCTTGTGACCCGAGCAGGAAGCCCAGAGACAAACCAGAAAGACAGGAAGGGGATTCCTGGACTTTCTTTCCACCTCTGGCAGGGACGCGACCCTCCTTCAGCTAGGAGCGCCTGGCCGGGTCTGGTGTACCCCTTACCCTGTCTTGAGGATCCCCTTGTCCCCAGAATTAGGGGGAACCCAATGGAGGCCTGGACCCAGGGCCTGTTCCCATCGTGGGCCACAGGGGCTTTTTAGGCAGTGAAACTACCCTATGTGAAATGGTGGATATGTTATAGGAGGCAGAAACAAATTATTTGGGTAGACAGGGTAAGGCAAATCCCCGGTAGAAAACTTTCCTTTTAACAAAAAGCAGCTCAAAAGTAGCTCCCTTTCTAACCTCATGCAGTTCAAAGAAATCACTTTTTTTCTAATAACAAGAGACCTGAAAGAGCAGACAGTAAAACACAGAAAAGACAGCTGGGACACAGAAGGACTGAGGTGGACAGCGGGGAGTCTCCTGGGTAATCACCAAGCTTCACACTTATACCACAGGCCCCAGTAAAACAGTGGGCCTTAATAAGCACATTCCTTTCTGTTCAGGCGCACCAAGATGCCTAGGGCTGCAAGAAGATGTATGGGAATCGACACAGAAACTTTTCCTACCACATAAGCAGGACAAAGAAACAGACTGAGAGTTGGCCTATATGCTCACGGAATGAGATAAGAGATGATAAAAAATTCTGCTCTGTACAGAGAACACACCTGTTCCCAACTAAACCCTGGGGCCCTAGGAAGATAAGACAAGACATCCCCTCCTCACAAGCCCCCTCCTCACCAGCTTCCCTCCCGCCGGCCTCACGAGCCCATTTATAAAATCTCTGACATTTTTACTACAACTTGGCAATCTGCTTACGATCCCTCTCTGTAACAGAAACCTGTTCTTTCCTTTTGCCTGTTAAACTCCTGCTCCAAACTCACTCTGTCTGTGTGTGTCCGAGACCTTGATCTCCTTGAGCCATGAGACTAAGGTCTTGGTATTTACCCCAGATAACGAGACTGCTTCAGATATATCTCATACGTTTGTCAAACCCACAGAATGTACAACAGAAAGAAGGAACCCTAAACGATGGACTTACTTATAATTATCAATATTTGTTCACCAAGGCAAATGGCACAACACTAATGGGTGATGTTACTAATAAGGGAAATTGTGCAGGAGGAAGAAGTGATAAATGAGAATTCTACACTTGCCACTCAATTTTTCCACAACCCTAAAACTATTCTAAAATGATATGTATTAATTATTTTTAAAAAGCAGATGACTTTTTGTCAGTGTTATGATTGTTTTTAGCTGTAACATAGAAACCTATAATCATCCTTCAATTTAACTTATAATTTGTTGGTATATATATATGTGTGTGTGTGTATATTCTGCACCACAGGATACATTAAGATTAGAATTTTCTTACATGATAATGAAACAGCCTCAATCACATTTCAGAAGTAGTGCCTTAATAAGTCCTTCCACCTTTTAACTCTCTCGGAGGAAGTATGGAAAAGGAGATATGATGTTAATATCTAAGTTTGTTGCTGTGTAACAAATATTTTGCTATGTATGCATACAGATAATAAAAATAATACTATATAGCTATAACTATCCTAATGTAACCCTTATAAAGAAAAGTGTCTGTGAAAAATGAGTGAGTTTGAGTGCATCGTGGTGGTTTAAATTTTTTTTTCTTTATTTTTTCAAACTCTAAACTCTAAAAGGCATCAAAGGATCTGATTGCAGGGCCTTAAATTTGACTAGGTTTCTCATACGTATCATCACAGTAAATGAAATGTAAGCTCATGTCTATTATATATGAAAAAAAATTAATACATAAGCACAAGACTGTTAATTTCTGGAATTGCATTCAGAATTCCCCTGTCCTCAGAAGAAAGGAAATGTTCTACCTTGCACATTATTGTCCTTTGTATATAAAGGACAATAAATAAAGGTTATGTAAATAAGTACACAGCCAGAATTCTTTTAGGACACACACATAGAATGTAAGTTATTTGGCTTTTGAATACAACGATTACTTGCAAAAGTTTGTTGCAGTTAGAAATGCTTACTCATATCTTTCCTCCTTATTATTACCTAGTTAAATAAACAAATGGCAAACATTTGTGTGAAGAGTCATATATTATGTGAAGTGCTAGATGGTGACATGTTAATAAAAGGACCTACCAGTAAAAAATGTAGTTTTTAAAATTGAAATGAGAAAACCTTTATTGGATTTTCTAGATCTGCCTATAGTAACATCCCCAGTTCCTCTGCTAACATCATCGTCATGTAGCAGGACGAGCCGCAGACAAAACCTCTCAGACACCGAGTTGTAGAAGGAAGGGCTTTATTCAGCTGGGAGCATCCGCAAGCTACTGCCTTAAAATCCGAGCTCACCAAGTGCACAATTTCTGTCCCTTTTGAGGGCTCACAACACTAAAGATTTCACGTGAAAACGTCGTGATTGATTTCAGCAAGCAGGGGGTACGTGACAGGGGCTGCATGCACCGGTGGTCAGAGAGAAACAGAACAGGGCAGGGAGTTTCACTATGTTCTTTTATACAATGCCTGGAATCTATGAATAATATTGGTTTCTAAGTTATGAGTTGATTTTTAACTACTGGGTTTAGGCCAGGCAGGCCCAGGCCTGGTTTTGGGCCTGGCACCCGGCTGCCTGTCTTTGGTTTTACTTTCTTGTTTTTTTCTTAAAACTGGTACTGACTATAAAACAATATGAGAGGGTCTCTCTCTCCTCAATCATAGCAGTTACAATACATCTATCTCTTATTTTACCTTAGAGTGGTATTACTCAAAGTGTGTATCATGGATCAGTGGCAGTTCATGAACTATGTGTTATGAGTCAATAGTGAGGTAAACACAGACTTTATTAGTCTGTTTTCATGCTGCTGATAAAGACATACCCAAGACTGGGCAATTTACAAATAAAGGGGTTTAATTGGACTTACAGTTCTATGTGGCGGGGGAAGCCTCACAATCATGGCAGAAGGCAAGGAGGAGCAAGTCACGTCTTACATGGATGGCAGCAAGCAGAGAGAGCTTGTGCAGGAAAATTTCCCCTTATAGTAAACATCAAACCTCATGAGACTTACTATCACAAGAATAGCACAGGAAAGACCTGCCCCCAAGTCACGTCTTACATGGATGGCAGCAAGCAGAGAGAGCTTGTGCAGGAAAATTTCCCCTTACAGTAAACATCAAACCTCATGAGACTTACTATCACAAGAATAGCACAGGAAAGACCTGCCCCCAAGTCACGTCTTACATGATGGCAGCAAGCAGAGAGAGCTTGTGCAGGAAAATTTCCCCTTACAGTAAACATCAAACCTCATGAGACTTACTATCACAAGAATAGCACAGGAAAGACCTGCCCCCATGATGCAATTACCTTTCACTGGGTCCCTCCCACAGCATGTGAGAATTCAAGATGAGATGTGGGTGGGGATACAGCCAAACCATATCACAGACATTGAGAGTAAGCATTTAAATACTCATATAGCAACTTGACATTTCCTTAATAACCAAGTTGGGGAATCCACCTTGTTGGACAGGAAATAGACAAGTGTGGTACCATCAGACTCAGTGGTGGGTCACTTGTGACATGAGTGTGTATGAGTCATGAGAAATTGTACAGCATTTAAAAATTTGTTATCTTAATGTTATTTTGTCAACTACAGTCCAACTGTGCATAAACATCTGAAATTCCCATATTACCTGCTTGTAAAATAATAACGAATAATTATGAAATTTGCAGGATAACTTGTTGGAAATAGTTATTGATGATTTGTGAAAATAAAATTTGAAAACAAGGCATCATTTGCATTATTTTGGGTAAGATTTAGAAACAAATAACCTCAACTTGCAGGAATTATCTTAAAATTTCTTTCTCTGTTCTCTTGAATATAGATCTTTGAAATCAGTTCTAGTTTTAATGGTAAATAGAAATACCTGAGGTACTCTTTCTCTTCAGTGAATAGAATATTGTCATAAATGCAACCTCATAAGCTCATTTGTCACATTACAACCTTACATATTAATATAAATAAAATTCATTCACAGTGTGGGTGTAGGCATTTAATATAGGAAATCCAATTTCATACTTAAACTTGGGATTAGTTACAGTTTTATTTTTTCTTCTTTTTCCTTTTGTTTCTTAATTGATAAATAGTAACTACATATTCATAAAGTATGTAGTGATATTTTGATACATATGATGTACAATAATTCTATTAGGGTAATTAGCATATCTATCATCTCAAACATTTATCATTTCTTTATGTTGGAAACATTTAATATCTTCTTCCTAGCTTTTTGAAACTATATTACATATTATTTTTAACCATAGTAATCATACAGTGGTATGGAATGCTAGGAGGTATTCCACCTATCTCCTGCACGATGGAGAAACAGAAAATGTCTTTTTGGTTTTTTTTTTTCTCATCACATCATCAGGCTGAAAATTTTCTAAACTTTATCCTCTGTTTCCCTTTCAAAACTGAATATTTTAACAGCACGCAAGTCACCTCTTGACTGCTTCAATGCTCAGAAGTTTCTTCTGCCAGACACCCTAAATCATCTCCCTCAAGTTCGAAGTTCCACAAATCTCTAGGCTGCAATAAGTCTACATGGTTTCCAGGGGGTGAAGCCTAAACCCAGCTGGCAGCACACAAAGCCTAGAATATCCTCTTTCCTGGTACCACCTCGTGCCACTGGACTCAGGGGGTGAGACGAGTGACTGCACAACCACATTCAACAGAGGAGGTACAACTGGGCAGAGACAACATCACAACCAGAGAAGACTACACAATCATTCAAGAGGATGCTGAGATAAAGTACAGTTACCTACTCTCCATTATTCTTTGCTGAGAAAGGCGAGGGTATGACATCAGCAGAAAATTATGTTTATTCTTAAAAAAATCCCAATAGGATGGGGTTGATGGTCATTCAAACAGTAGAATGAGATAAAAATCTGCATTAGTTAAAAATCTTTGTAAATAAGGAAAAGAACAGCAATGGCAAGGGAGAAAAGAGAG